TTCAAATTGAAATCTCCGTAAACAGCATTGTTTGACACGTTATCTTTACCTTTACAACTTCTTCCTTATCAGCTCCTTTTATGATACACAAATTTGTAGACACATTGCGCACAATTGTTTGGAACTAGGCCTAGTAAATGTTAAAGACCATTATGCCGGATTGTGTGCCGGAGATACGGTGAGCTATTGTAGAATTATATTGCAACGTGACTTCGGATAGACTTGCTTTGTTGTCGAGATTGTTAGGGGAGGATTCCACTCGGCGTCATCCGCCTCGAGTTGCAAGACACGTGGGTGGATCGATCTTGCTCGCGCGTTCGGTCGCGTGTTATTCAATATTCGGGAGTCAACAGCGACGCTGCGCTTCGCGACGCAATACAGATTGCAACGCAATAGTAAAGATATAAAGATAACGCGGTGGCCGATTTAGAAGGGATTAACTTCCTTGTAGCCGCATAAAATTGCACGGTAAACGAGAGCGCGAAGCCGCGGAAATACGGCGTTACACGTCAAATACATGGGCCGTCAAAGGGAATCGCTGTTGAAACGAGCGCGGAATAAATTTCGCACGCCGCCCGGCGATGTTTGCGCACCCTGCCTGAGAATCGATCAATCGTCAAATGTGTGCCGGAGACACCGTCTGCCATCGGTTTTCTTTCCTTTATCGTCTGCTCTCTGCGCACCGGCACGACGTAGGCGGCGAACTTCGCCTACATTGTACGTAACTCGTCCGCATTGACTATTATATCTTCGAGCAAACTACGCGCGGCCGTACCTTCGACAAAGTACAGGCGAGTACATTAATTCGTCAGCCTCACGACACAGTCGCAAGTCGTTCCGTGTTATAGTCTAATGAATACATACATATGCTTGTATTACAAGCGAATGATTTCATCCTGGAAGGGAAAAAAGAAAGAGATCCCTTCCACGAGACGGATGGACAAAAAGGGATAGAAACAAAAAGGATAGAGAGAGAAAGAGAGAGAGAGAGAGAGAGAGAGAGAGAGACAAAAAAGGAAAAAATGGCAAGTGAGATCCTCATGGCGATTTCACCTACGACGGGCGATGAAGAAAAAGGGAGGCTCGAGGCAGAAAGGGGTGCGTGTTGAAAAGGGTCGAAACGGCTGCGGCTGCCTACTCGCGACAGGACTATCTTCTCTCGTTAGATTGACGTCTCTCCCTTTTGCAGGCACGTGCGTCTAACCGTAATCAGAATTGGGCTTCTTCCTACTTCCTCTTCTCTTCCGCTTTCCTTCCTTCCTCACGTTCTCCGTCGTCGTCAGAGTAGAATATCACGAGCAGAATGCATTTGCATTTATAATACGCCGGCTATACTACACATAGACCGTCTAGTCCGCTATTATACCGTTTCATTATAATCTCTCTCTCTTTCTCTCTCTCTCTCTCTCTTTGCCTTCTCCTTCTTTAGGGTTCTAATCACAAGGGCAAGAAAAGCCGAGGTTGGCCTTTCTTTACATTGTAAAACACGACGAAGAGAAGCGTAAATCCGAGCAAGCGCGCGCGTCAAGGCGTCCGCTTTAAGAAATTCGTTATCTCGGAAAGGTCTCGGGAATTTTTACTGCCGCGAGCGTAGTGCCACTTCTCCTTAAGTACTGTGCATTACTTTCAATTTGAAAATTTGCACAACGCTGTAGCGCTTTACATTCACGATTATGCAATATTACGAGATTTACTGCGACAATTACACAGTAATAAATCGCGTTTTCTTGGCTTCTTGCGCGCCATCAACGCTGCAAGATGAACTTTCATCATCATCGACTGAATTTTCTTCTATACGTCTTCATCTAATTTTTATTGTAGTTTCCATGATTTATTACTCTGACGTGTGCATCGCCCCGTGCATTGCGAAAACCGAGGATCACGAGCTCAAAGAGAATCGTAATTCACTTCTTGACAGGAAAAAAATTGTTTTTAGACGTAGAATAGGGCTCTTCTTCCGCGTTTGCTCTTCTCCCACGGGATATATTTAGATAGGCCGGCTGATTAAGCGGTTTGCCGGCTTAGTAAACGAGAGGGTTCGTTTCGAGAAGATGGGGTAGCGTCGCGGAGGGGACTAATGATCAGGGGCTCATATGTCCGTGGAGATTTCGGTCAGCGCGCGACGAAGATAAAGAGTTATCGCCTCTGGAGTGGGGAATGGCGCGAAAAATATACGAGTGAGCGCCACAGCACAAAAGAAACGTGGACGAAATAGTTGGTGGGAAGACATTTGTCGAATTCACCGAGCAAGCAAGCACGCGTGGTGTCTGCTCTCCACATTTCCGATCTTTAAAGACCTTCTTGTGTCGCGATATTGATCGAGGTCGTAAAGAATCGTCGATTTGTTACAGATTTGTTACTTCTTCGACGTCGAAGAAGTGAATAAAAATCTTGCACGTTTGGCCTTTCCTCGGCTTATCCGGAAGAGGCAAGTACGTGAGGGATGAATCTCGAAATACAAAAGAGACACAACAACGCGTAACAATATATAATTGAACTTTTAGCATTTGCCGTCTTAATTTTAGCGATATATATATATATATATATATATATATATATATATATATATATA